AAAAAGAAAGATAAAAATAGTTGGAGCTCTTCAAAACTGAACCCTCCTTCAGTGCAAAGATTCCATGAAGAGGATGAAGATGCTGCAGGCTGTGAAATAATAGTTCCAAATCAATATCTAATCAAAGATTGGAAACTACAGTAAATACGGGCTGTTTAGAACTCAACAATAAATAAAGCCCAGTTAGAAAATGGGCAAACATGTGGACAGGCACTGTTTCATGCTGAGTAGCAGGAGCTCAGTTAAGCAGAGATAATAATTCTTTACTCAATGCATTACTTGTAAATAATACTCTCCCCTGCTTTATGGGTTGTTTCTCACGTTGATGCATAAACGCTTTAAATTTTTACAAAGTTCATAATTATCTAAGTTACCATTTTAGGTTATTGTAGTCTTAACATACGCTGGATATAAGATTACTACCCACGATATGTAAAGAAGGCATGACATAGAACACCTTTTTCTTTTTTTTTTATTTTCCAGTTTAAATTTAGATAAGAAACGAGGTTGCTTCACAAGTCAGTTCCAGGTCCCTCTCCCATTCCCTCCCCTCCTCCCGTGCCCTCACCCCCACCCCCCACCCCCGTTATCCCCTCATTCCCCCAGGGAGGGTGAGGCCCTCCATGGGGGTGTCCATAGTCTGTCATTTCATATAGGGCAGGGCCTAGACCCTTCCCCAAGAGTTCAGGGTGAGAGTGCACCTCACATTGTTCTATGGGAGTCCAAAGTCCGTGTGTATACTTGGGATGGGTACTGATCTGCTGCCCAAGGCTCAATAGATTCCCTAGGCCTCCTCACTGACACCCAAATTCAGGGGGTATTGATCAGTCCCATGCTGGATTCCCAGGCTGATGCCTGGGTTTCAAGAGTTAACCTTTGTCAGCTGTTTCTGGGGGTTAAACCAGCCCAGTCTTAATCCCTTTGATCACCAGTCCTCCCTCTCTGTTACTGGCTTTCTTGAGTTCAGCTCAGTACTTAACCAAGGGAGTCTGCCTCTTCTTCGATCAGCCACTAAATGAAGTTTCTGTTTCCCAGACTCTCTGGCCATAGGGTTGTAGGCTGGCACTCCCCATATCTATGTCTAAAATCCATATATGAGAGAGTACATGCCATGTTTCTCTTTTTGTGACTGGGTTACCTCACTCAGGATGGTTTCTTCTAGTGTCATCCATTTGCCTGCGAATCTCATGATTCCATTATTTTTTTTCTGCTGAATAGTACTCCATTGTGTAGATGTACCACATTTTCTCTATCCACTCTTCGGTTGAGGGACATCTAGGTTGCTTCCAAGTTCTGGCTATTACAAATAAAGCTGCTATGAACATAGTGGAACAGACATCTTTGTTGTATGAATGGGCATCTTTTGGATATATGCCTAAGAGTGGAGTTGCTGGGTCTTGTGGTAGGTTTATTCCCATTTTTCTGAGGAATCTCCATACTGATTTCCAAAGTGGCTGAACCAGTTGGCACTCCCACCAGCAATGGAGGAGTGTTCCCCTTTCACCACATCCTCTCCAGCATAAATTGTCATTGGTGTTTTTTATTTTAGCCATTCTGACAGGAGTGAGATGGTATCTCAGAGTTGTTTTGATTTGCATTTCCCTGATGGCTAAGGATGTTGAGCACTTTCTCAAGTGCCTCTCAGCCATTTTAGACTCCTCTATTGAAAACTCTCTATTTAGTTCTGCAGCCCACTTTTTAATTGGGTCCTTTGCTGTTTTGGAGACTTGCTTCTTGAGTTCTTTGTAAATTTTGGAGATCAACCCTCTGTCAGATGTGGGATTAGAACACCTTTTTCTGTTGGGGATATGTGGAGGGCTCTGTGGGAAAGGTTTTCATAGTTTAGGCATCCATCCTTTGTTGCTTTTTTGTGAATTTTCTTCCCTTGCTCCTCATTGAAACAGGTGCCACACTTCCCACCCAAGACAAACATCAACAAAGTTCTCTTCTAAACAAATGTGTTAGTCTTCTCCCCAGACCTCATCTCTGTCTTCCATTTCTGTGAGAAATGTGCTTCCTTCGAGCCTCTGGCATCATCCCCTCAACTCCCACTTTCCTCCAGTTCACCCCCAGAACACTGCCATCACATTGTCCCTCCTCTCCAGCACAGTAGGCTCAGTCTGGCACGGTATGCAAAACTGCCGACCCTTGTGCAAGGACAGCAGCCTGTGTCCTCCCACCTCCCAGTGTCACTGTAAAACTCAAACACAGCCTTCGTCTTCCCATCTTCCATCTACCTGCAGTGGACTGCACTCCTGGGGACCCCTACCTTCATGTCTAGCCACTGGTTCCCGTCTCCTGCCCCACCTGGCTTGCCTCAAGTTTTAGTCAAAGGCAAGCTCTCCCGCAGCATTCCTTAAAACCACACACCTTCTCAGAGTACTGACTGCCCTCTATTCAGTGTTCCCACAGCACCAGGTGTCTTGCTTATTGTAATGATGCGGAAGATGAGTGACACCCGCTGTTACTGCCTCCCAAGGCTCTATATCCTGCCAACACAGCCCAGTTCCTGGGGTGTATGTAATACATTCACAGAGGGATGCTGCTGCACTGAACATGTGCCAATCGCTCATTGATACCTTGCTTAATCATATTACAAAAGTGATAGAACTTCAGACGAGCCGGAAACAAGTCGTTTTCCATGCTATGAAATAACTCAGCTACTCACCACCTCAGGTCCTTCCACCACCCAACAGCAAATGGCTAAGAATATCAAGTCATAATCTACTTAAATGTTCTTCACTTCTGAAAAGGACTCAATCCAATAGGACTCCAAATTACCTCCAGTTTCCTTAACAAAATTGGAATCTATTCAGCTCGCATTGGCAGGCTGGAAGGAATGTGCATATCAGTGCAACCCCAATCACAGCGCGCTCAGCAGCCCATGCAGAATTCATCTAGGCAGAGAGCAGGAGAGGAATCGCAGCCTCAGCAAAGTGGGGGGAGACTGGTGTGGACGCTGTATGTCTGCAGCTCAGCAGCGACTCGGAAGAGCTGGGCTTAGGAGGCAGAGTCGGAATCCTTATCACTCTTAGGTCATGACTTCCGTGCTCTGCTGGACTTCTAGACCTCCTCCGTCTTCCTGGGTAATGTCAGTATCATGAACATGAGGACCCCTCCTCTGGTCCTCTCTAATCTGATCCTAATGTCATCCTTTATGATGGATGCTGACTCAGCTATGGAATGCCCTATTATTTCTGGATATGCCTGTGAGAATGTCTCTAGAAGAGATGAGCATCCCAGTAGTAAACCGAATAAAAAACAGGATGTTTTCTCCAGTACATGTGGATATAACTCAGTCCATCCAGGGCCTGAGTGCACCGAGAGTTAATGGAGAGAACTAGTCTTCTCCACTCAAGATGAGAAGACACCGTCCTCTGCTTTATTGTATGGATGTTTCCAGTGCCAAGGCCTTTGGATACTGAATTAGCTCTTACTTTCTTGGTTTTTTAGCTTACAGAAGCCAAGGGAGGCTTCTTGGTCTCCCTGGGCTCATGATTCAATTCCTGCAGTAAATCTCTTGTGCATGTTCTAGAGGTTCTGTCTACTAACGCACCGTTAGTAGTCAGAAAAGCGAAGACCTTTGCCTCGGCCTTCCTTCTTCCTTTCAGCCTGCTTGAAGCCAGCAGACAACACGTGCCACTCCACACATGAACATACAACATTTGCACATGCACACACCTGCGCACATATATGTGGTCACAAAGTCCCTTTCTAAGCAGCAGGGCACAATTCCTTAGGTATTAAATTTAGCCCAGAGTGTCTTATAATATGCCCCCTTTTTTTTCATTCAAGAGACTTTATTCACTCGTCATTAGAGGAGAACCCAGTCTCAAATGTACCTATCTGGGAATAGCATCTGGGGATTCCTATAGCAGCTAACATGGGAAGGACATGCTTGGAGGTTAGCTAAGAGCAAGAGAAGTGAGGGAGCTTGCGGGGCTCATTTGTATCTCCCCTACATTGCACCACCCATGTCACCCCATGTCATTTTTTGAAGGGTATGTTAATAGTCCCATAATCCCCAGCAATGAGGAAACAGAGGCAGGAAGATCAGGAGTTCAAGTAGTTTAAATTTGGCTGCGTAGTAAATTCAGGGTCATTTTGAAATACACAAGACCATGTCTTTAAAAAGGATCAGAGAGATCTCAAATAATTTAATGATGCACCACAGAGTCTTAGAAATATGGGAACAACCCAAACATAGAAGCAGAAGACAGAAATAAATAATAAAGATCAGGGCACAAGTGAATGAAACAAGGACAAAAAAAGAAAGAAAGAAACCCACAATGCAAAGAACCAATGAAACAAATAATTGGTTCTTTGAAAAAGTGAACAAAATTGACAAATCCTTAGCCAAACTAACCAAAATAAAGAAAAAACCCCATGTGAATAAATTCCCAGTGATGAAGAGGATATCACAACATATGCCAATGGAATCTAGATCATTAGGGACTACTTTGAAAACTTTACAATCCAAAACCTGGGCAAACAAGGAGAAATGGAAACTATTATAGACATTATGGCCCACCAAAATTAAATCACAAGGATGAAATTACTCCTTTGTAAAGATAACCCCCCAACAAATTATTTGCTAGAGTGAGTGACAGGTCTAATGTCCCCAAACCTCCCTCAAGTGCCTCATGAAGGGGACAAATATGGGATAGGAGCTCTTGGTGCCCTTTCTCCAACACAGGTCTTCAGAACTATCTGAAGCTTCACAGACCCCTGGAAATTGAATGGGCAGCTATTTTACTCAATAGGGAGCACGGGGCTGGAGGTTTCACACATCCTAAGAGAGAAGTGACTATGGTAAATGGAAGAGGCCAGTCCATGGGCATGGAGGACAGAGCACCGAGCATACAGAACAGCAAACTAAGGTCAAGGATGCTCAGGCCCCAGAATGGGAGCTTTTGCTGTTAGACAGAGATGAAGCTCCTGGACAAGGCCTTGGAAGCGTGTGATCAAAGCTGTCTGTCCCATTTCTGTGTATTCCCTAGGTCCCTTGAGACACATTTGCCACTGCCAGAGGTGGTGAAGTGACTCCAGCTGCCTGGACAGGGAAGGCCAGACAAGGCCAGGCATGTGTCCTGTGGCAAGTGGTAAGTGACCCACGTTGTGTGGCAGAGTTGTGCCCTGTTATGGACTCTACCATCAGTTGGAGTCAGGAGCCTGCTGGTCCATTCCAAGCACTAGGGTAAGGCCTTATCTACTACCAGCACCTCCGTGGTGACATTTTTAGTAGACATGCACGCCCGGGCCTGCAATCCTCTAAGTAGTTACACAAATCATTTTTGCCTACTGCAAATTGGCTAGATCCATGTCCCCGGACCCTGAGCCAGTCACAAACAGGCAGTGGAGATGAAGCTGGAAAGGGGCCATATCTAGAAGGTTTCCTCCTCCTCAGCTGTTTGCCTATGATGTGCATAAGGTCCCTTTTATCTAATATGCACTCCTTGGCTACGATTCAAAGGCCTATCCGAGAAGACAAGTTGAAAAAAATGCCTCCTGGTGCCCTTACACTGACTCCATTCAATTTCCAGCCTTTTCCCAGCTAATTCTCAGCCTGCAATTTCCTAATGACTCTGTCTGCACCACTCTGTGGTCCACTAAAAGGCACAGCTGGCCAAGATTCCCTGCATGGTTTGCAGTTGGGGTGCTGTCAGCATTTCTTTTCTGGTTATGAAATACTGTCAGGGTTCCTCTGGATGTCCAATGTTTCTCTGAGATAAGCATTCTACTATCAAGAAGAGGGTTTGAGAAGGATGCTAAAGACCCAGTCCAGAGAGAGCCTGAGCCCCAGTCTTTCTTGGGGCAGGGTGGGGTTTAACTAGGGATCTTCTTTGTTTCCTTCTCGAAGGGACAGAAGTAAACAAAGGATAGAGCAGCGTCCAGTACATCCCTGCACTGGTCTGTGTTTCTGTGCTCACTAGCCCTGGGTAATCTGACCTGGCTGGGATGCTAATTAAAGTTTTGTTAAATGCATCTATTAATGCTGTCCTATAAAACTGTGTAAATGGCTATGCATAGCATTCTGCCCACACCTAGTATTTCCAATTTAATGAGATTATGAGCCTCAGGCTGTCACACTGCATCCTAAGGACAGACTGGGAGGAGCTATTAAAAGTTATTACTGTCATTACTGCTATTCACTTGTGGAAAGGTACTCCTGCCCTTCTCCTATGGGCAAAAGATTTCTTAGGAAAGAAGGTCTGTGACAAAATATATGATTCCAAGTTCAACAAGAAATTGAAGAGGCAGCAGGACCCCTGAGCTCCCCTCTGCCCTGCGGAGTTTCCACCCTGCTTCCCGCCTCTGCCTGTTGGCAATCTCCTCCTCCCTTCCATCAAGAAGGAACCAACTACTTCCCATTCTTCATCTCTGCTTCACTCCTGCCCCCTGGCCTTCAGCCAGGACCAATGCCATGAACCCAACTTTGCCTTTGCACATGGGGATCTGTCAGTGTTCAAGTCTCCATGTCTTGGGCAGGTAACCCTAACCACTTTCTCCAGAAGGATACATAAATATGCATATGATTTTAAAAGTTATTCAAGTTCCCCAAGTGCTGTGATCATCCTATGATCTGAATTCTAACAAGTCTTTTAAAGACCTGACTCCCTTTACTATTTGCCAGTATCTAGCCACACCCATTCCCCAAATTAATTAAAATGAAAATTCAAGTAAGTCCTTGAACACAACAGCTGCTTGCAGCTATACAGGACCTGTTTCTACTGTTGTCAAAACAGTGCAATCACCCCTGTCCATCTGCCAGTCCCTAAGTCACTCCAAGGTCCAGAATACCCAGGAGATCAAGCACACTCTTCTTTCTGCTCACACTCCTCTGACTGGAAGATGGTCTGTCACACCCTTAAGTAGACTACCTGCCATCATGGGAGGTTTGGATGGAGTTTACATAGCAACAGTCCAAATGAAATGAAAACATGACTCATAAAAGAAATATCGTGTGCCAAGGACAAAGCACCAAGACAAAGGTTGTACTTACCAAAGTTTTATGTGGTGGTTTGAAACCACATAGGTTCATATATTTGAATGCTTAGTCACCAGGGAGTAGCTCTGTTTGAAAGGATTAGAAGGATTGGGAGTTGAGGCCTTGTTTGAGGAAGTATGTCACTGGGGGTGGGCTTTGACAACCCAGAGTCTCTCTTGGCCTGTGGATCAGGATGTAGTTCTTACCTACTCCTCCAGTACCATGTTTGCCTGCCACCATGGTCCCCATGGTGATAACCTCTGAAGCTGAAAGCAAGCCCCCAATTATATGCTTTCTGTAATAAGACTTGCCTTGGTCTCTTCACAGCAATAAAACAGTGACTAAGATTGAAAGTTCACTAAATTATGAACCAATTTATAGGAAAAGCAAATGAGAGTTAGAGGCAATACTTGGCTGATGCCTGGGTGAAAAAGATAACTAATTATTCCTGTGTACAAAAGGATCACCAAAGGTCTACCTAAAAGCTCTCGCTAGCCTCATGCCAGCCAGATCTCACAGAACTTACATGCTCACACTTGGCCTGCCCTCACAAGGACACCGTCAGTACAGACAACACAAAGCGTGCCCTCTGCATATATGCAGCCCCATGGTTACTCACTGGACTCAGCACAGGTAAACGATGAAAGAGTCATCAGGACTCACAGTGACACAGGATTCTTGAGCCCATGCTCTTGTCTCTGTCCTGACTGTCGCTCTTTATTCTTCTCCATTCTCCACCTCATGCCTTGCTACTCTCCTCTTCTAAAATCCACAGAAATAAATACCACCCCGTATGTTTTCCTGTCACTCTGTCTTCTGAGTGCAAAGATACAGTTGCATTTAAAACCCTACAGGCCATCTGAGGGCATGAGAACCGATCCCCGTGAGCTAGAGAATGTGGCCTGTGCCCACTCATTGTCTATGACTTCTGTGAATTTCCTTGTTTTCAACAAAATCAGAAAATGCAAAAGTGAAAATGCTGACCCTCAAGGAGATACCGTCTTGAATTTGTCAAGCTTGCCCTGTGGTTTTTAAGACAGTGGAAAAGAGAAAATGCATCCATAAGCACAATAGAACAGTGTAGTGTTACAGAGATTAAAATAATAATAATAAAAACAAGCAACAATAACAACCTTCAAATAGAAAAACAGTGTAGTGTTACAGAGATGATGATGATGATAATAAAATGACCCCTTCAAACTGAGATGATGATGATGATGATGATGATAAAATAACCCCTTCAAACTGCAGAGAACACCCAGGATGGGACAACAGCCTAGACAATGGGGATAAGCAAATAGTTCACAGAGAACACAGGTGGGTAACATGTTTTCTAGACTGAAATCTCATCAAGATCCATCGGAGGTGCAGGAACCTTTCTTCTCTCTACACAGAGAACCCCAGAGGTCGTCCTCCTCCTGTTAAGAGAAGCTTTTTCCTTGCTTGCCGATTTGGTATATCCCCCGCCAGTCGCCTGGGCTCTGCCGCGCCAGCCTGGTTCTAGATCCGCATGAGTCCCAAATAAACACACAGGAGGCTATATTAATTATGAAGCTGTTGGCCTTGTTCGTCTCTTACTGGCTAGCTCTGCCTTAAGTAATTACCCCATAATTGTTAATCTAAGTATGTTTCTTACCGGAGAATAGTTCCCGGTGTCCTACTCCCATGGCGTCACATGTTGACTCTCCTGGGTTTCTCCTACCCAGAATCCTCCTGGATTCCTAGCCCCACCTATCTAGATTCCTATTGGCCAGACAGTGCTTTATTAGCATAAGACTTCCCCAACATCTCCTCTTTTCTGTTTAAACAAAAAGAAAGGTCTTAACTTTAACACAGTCAAATTGTATATAACAGAACAGTTATCAAGTAAGAACATAGTTACAATATTTTAGCAAGATTTAAAGAAAATATATATCCCATCCTTGTGAGTCCAAAGTCCTATATGTAGCTTATCTTTTATCATAACTAAGGAAAACTATAATTATAAGTATCTGTCTTCAACTCCATCAAAGACCACAGAAGGATAATATATAAACACTAGGATTGACAGAGACATCTTACTGCCTGGACAGTCACCCGAAGTTCCTCTGTAACGTTGGGGCATCCATCTTCAGCCCATAGGCCACAATGTGTCTGGAACACTTCTCAGCAAAGCAGGAAATTTCAAACTGTCTATCTGCATTGGTAGTCTGTCAGTCATTTTTCTTTGTCCTGTAGACAGTCTCGTAGACTCTTCATGAAGCAGGAACCCTGTAAGACTGAGTTCAGTAGTCACTTTCCTATGGGTCCTGCATGTCCAGTTTATACAACAGCAGTCAAACAGTCTAGGCAAGAGCAGTTTCTTGCCCAAATGGCTAATCTTGCCATGTTGAAAGCAAACTCCATAACAAGTTTCTTCGATGCCCATCTTCCTCTCAGATATAATTGGTGCTGCCAGGAGCAGACATTTCTCATTGTCAAAAAAAACCCTAGACCATTTTAAATGCCATGTTCTGAAGGTCTTTCAGAGGTTTGAAGACTGTCTATCTGTCTCAAATATATTTCTGTATATCTAGAAAACCTAACTTACCTAACTATAAATTCTATTATAAGTAACTATCTATAGTCTGTATTCAATTATGCATTACATTTTAGAAGATCAGTATAAGCACAATGCTTAATCAAGAGGAGAAATATAAACATCACAAAATTGACCTTGAATTTGTATCAATAAATGAAAAGCAATACCCATACCATAATTCCCCTTTTTACCATTAAAAAAATTGGCTGTGATCATTAGCCAATTATAAACAATCCCATTTAAATGAAAACAAAAATTTATAAACAAGATGGGAATTGGGACGTCGCTCATTCCAAACTGCTTCCTGCTGGAAGGGGGCGCTGTTTATACCATGGGGATCATGACAAAACTCAGAAACCTGTATAAGTCCGTATTTTCGGGGTCTGTAAAGCTCCATCATCTTAACTGTCTCAGTCGTTGGAACACCTGGTCCACTGCTTCCGGGGGTCTTGGTTCGTGAAACCACAGAAGCCTGGAAGGAATTCTCAGCTTTTCATTTTCTGTAGAAACATAAGCAAAAACTCCTTTTCCAAGTAACATATCCTTATACTTAAATTTTGAAGTCAAGTCATTTTCAAAAGATAGAAGTTGGATTAATTTAGCAGCATTTATAATCAAGTGTACTTTAGCAGCTGTTCCTTCCTTAGCAATCAAAAAACTGAAAAACATAATAGCGTACAGTATCCAGACTCTCTGTGTATTTTCCATCTTTACGTGGCTTATTTATTTATTTATTATTACTTTATTTATTTTTCTTTGAGACAGGATTTCTCTTTGGAAATCTGCCTGCCTCTGCCTCTGCTTCTGGAGTAAATCCTACCAGCGTGCACCACCACAACGCCGGCTTTTGTATTTATTTACCACTTTGCCATTTCATTTTCTCTCAGTCTCACGTATATTTTAAACACACTGTAAACCTTTAAAGGTTTTGTTCATACAAGTCTGACTTTACTGTAAATATGTTTTTCTGGCCACGTGTCTTATCTGTTAAAACCGCGGCAGTTTAAACTGCCTCTTTTTTTTTTTTTTCCAAGATGGCGGGCGTAAGCATGATTCCAGCTTACCGCCTCAGTCCATGCTGACCTCCAGCAAAAGCTGCCACTTCCAGCTGTACGTACACACCTTTCAATCGTTAGCAGAGTCTCTTAAAACAACCTTGTTAGTTTTTTTTTTCCTTTTTCTTTTTATGCTGAGTCAGGAAGACTCCGGTAACCGAGCCACGTGAATCTCGGCTTGTCGCTAGCAAAACAGAGCACACCTGAGAAAAATGCTGCTACCAAAATCTGTGCTTCTCGCCGTTCCCCGTTCTTCTGTTTCTAAAATTTCTTTAAAGCTTTTGTCATTTTATGTGGAAATTCATCATCCCACTCCTGATCACCATTATGTTAAGAGAAGCTTTTTCCTTGCTTGCCGATTTGGTATATCCCCCGCCAGTCGCCTGGGCTCTGCCGCGCCAGCCTGGTTCTAGATCCGCATGAGTCCCAAATAAACACACAGGAGGCTATATTAATTATGAAGCTGTTGGCCTTGTTCGTCTCTTACTGGCTAGCTCTGCCTTAAGTAATTACCCCATAATTGTTAATCTAAGTATGTTTCTTACCGGAGAATAGTTCCCGGTGTCCTACTCCCATGGCGTCACATGTTGACTCTCCTGGGTTTCTCCTACCCAGAATCCTCCTGGATTCCTAGCCCCACCTATCTAGATTCCTATTGGCCAGACAGTGCTTTATTAGCATAAGACTTCCCCAACATCCTCCACACCCCCTCCCCGGCCCAGTAACCAGGGTAGGAAGGTAAGTGACCCCAGAATGTCATAGAGGAAACATGGCAAATCTTGGACATTACAAACTAAAACACTCAGCCATCCGAGTTAAATGTTTTGTTCTCTAAAGGCCTCAACCTGAAGGAAATGCGAGTTTTTGTAGAGTGACTTTTTAAAATCACTGGCTTGTTCTTTTAAATTCTGTTTTACAGGAAGCTCACACCTTTGTCTTGGTTACACCCTCACATCCTTACAGAAGAGATCTGAGGATGTTCTCATGCCAGGGTGCTCTGCATTCCAGCAAGTTATTGGGACCCATGTCCCAAGACAGAGGGCAGCTCTGCCACCTCATGGTTATATGTGGTACTGCATCAATCCAAGCCTTGAAGTTGAGCAGAGGGCTGATTGGGAGCCCAAAGCTGCCTGAACCCCATCACCACCCAAGCCCACCAGGAGGTAGGAGGGGAGCTCTCCAGAATACCCTGGCCTTCGTGGGAGGGGGACTACCCTGGCTTCTCTGTCAGCAGACTGACACCCAACTTGGTATGCAGAATGGGAGCTTGAAATTCTACCTTTTATTTTTCTAATTTCTTTTTAATTAACATATAATTGTGCATATTTCCAACACATTGTGACATTTTGTGAATAAGCTCTGAATTGATTTTGTCAGGTTAGCATTTCTTCTGACACTTTTGAGCTCCGTGCTCTTCAGAGCAGGAACTGGGCTCTTGTGAACTGTCACCCCACCTACCCGCAGAGCACTGAGGCATACTCTTTCTGCATCACGGGATATCCATCATGCAAACTCCTCCACGGCACTTCATCCTCTCTAGACTATTCCAGTCTCTCCTATGTTGAGGGCACAAACTCCAAACACTAGATCACCAGGGTAAAAGTTGAGACATTAAAATAATCTTCCTCTTATAAGAGAGAACACACACACACACACACACAATTTTCCTTCACATAATGCCTTCCAGACCCAATTTAAGATTTATTTATTTTGTGTATATGAGTGATCTATCTCCTTTATGCCAGAAGAAGGCATCAGATCCCACTATAGATGGCTGTGAGCCACTATGTGGTTGCTGGGAATTGAACTCAGGAACTCTGGAAGAGCAGTCAGTGCTCTTAACTGCTGAGCCATCTCTCCAGTCCCCAGAGCCATTTTATACAGATGTCAGACTTTTTTACCAGAACAAATGACCATTGGTTCCCAGGACTTGTCTGAGCCTATGTACAAGTGTGACCCAATCAGGGAAGGACAGGGGATGAGACAGGACAGAGGGTTGAATGGAAATGGAATTTACCCTCTAGGTCCTGACAGGACTTCCTTGGTGCCCTCCAGCTGGAAGAACGATAATTTCATAGGGCAATGTGTGATCTGTGGGAAAAAAGTCTCCTTGGGGGAGATCACAAAGGGAGGGAGTGATGGAGGGAGAAGTCCTGCTACACTAAGAGCTATACCAGCCTTAAAGGCCCTGGAGACAAGACCTGTGCTGGTCACATCACAGTCAGAGAATGGCCTCCAGGGTTCTCTGTGAATTCAGACCATTTTACCCTTTCAGTGGTGTGTGGTAAGTGGGAACCTGTTAGTTGTGAAAAGGTTGAACATGAGAAACTGAGCCAGACATGTATTCCCAAGTATCTAAGCTCACTGGGGGAAGAAAGAAGGTAGAGGGATAGCCAGATATGACCCTGAACACTGCCCAAGAAAAACTGGGAAGTCTTCAACATCAGTGTGCAGCTGGAGACTAAACTTCACAAGGAAACAGCCTGCATACATCACAAGGTGTACAGCTCAGGGCACAAAACACACCCACAGGACACTCAGGACACACAGGGTGCACACATAGGGCACACACAGAATGCACACATATGGTGTGCACACACACAGAGTGCACACACAGGGTGCATACACTGGGCAAGTGGGACTGGGCTGTATAAGAAAGGCAGCTGAACAAGATGGGGAGCAAGTCTGTCAGCATCCTCCCTTGCCTCTGTTTCGGTTCCTGTATTCAGGCTTCTGCCTTGAATTCCTATGTTGGCTTCTCTTGACAAAGGACTAAGATACACAATGGAAGAAAGCCTCTCCTCTCCAAGTTGTTGTTGGCAGTGATGCTTATCACAGCCACACCGTGCAAACTATAACAGTAATCAAGCACACAGCGTTGTTCATCATGCCTAGGCAGGCAGTACCAGACACACGCCGTGCACTCCGGGCATGCAGATACAAACAGAACCCTTGGCACATGGTTCAAGGCACCTACAACAGGCACAGGGCAACGAGGACACCATCAGAATCAATATCCACATACACATTTGACAGATGACAGAGGAAACTGGCTCTTGTATGACAGCGCACAAAGAGGTGAGAACATAAAGGTGGACCTCCAATGCAGACACCACACCAGGCTGGCATGTGAGAGGAGCACATGCTGGACACAGATGCTGGCTACAGCATACTCAACAAACAATAGCAAGCGCATAACACAGGATGCAAGGCAAGCACACACACACGCACGCACACACGCACGTACGCACACACGGACACACACAGCAGCAGGCATGCTGGGCACCTAGCAGTACATACCAGACACTACAGCACACAAAGTTGATTCTGAGTCACTGGGTAAGAGTAGAAAAGTCCCTAACAACATTCTTGTCTCTTGTGCTCAACAGCCATGGTAGGGGTGCCTCAATCCTAGACCCCTATGAGGATAGAGCAGAGCCGTGGCCCAGCCTGTGGGGTTCAGAGTCATCGGTTTCCACTGCAGAACTAAACCACACAGTGGGACTGTATCATCCTTTGAGGGAATCTTTGAGTCATTTCCTAGACTTTTTGCTACAACAAATCACAATGCGGGCTACAAAAAAGCACACAACAAAGGGCAAAAACAAAGTTATTTCCACGAGGCCCTGCCATTTTGAATGCCTGCCTGCAAAGTTTGTGAGTTCCTGGCAAAGCATCTGCAGAGCAAACCCAGAGAAGAATCATTACACCATGGCTCTCTTCCCAGGTCCAGAAATCAGAGAACCACAGATGACCTTTTTGCACTGTCCTTCAGTTTGGGACTTGCACTTTACGTCTTCGGCCGTTAGGTGACGCCAAAGAGTAAGCTATCTAGTTGATAGGCAGGCTGGGCACAGGTGAAATGTCTAGAATTGAGTCCAAATGGAAACCACAGCTCCAACATCAGTGTCTGTAGCTCTCCATTCCAGTCTCAGCGCATGAGAGTCCCTGGCTTGCTGGGCTATCTTGGGTGTCTATCCAGGGTGGTAAGCATGGCTGCAGAGCGAGTCCAGACGTTGGCATTGCTACAGTAGTATTGACGTTGCTATGATTTACTGTTTGTGTCGCCCAAAATTCCTGCTAAATTTTGGTTCCCAGCAAAACAGTATTAGCAAGCGGGTTCTTTATGGGTGATTAAGTCCCCAGGAATTGGATCAGTGCCTTCCAAAAGGGCAGGAGATCTAGAGAGGCCCTTCCTTGTCACTGTAGCTCCCGTCTGTGAGGACACGGTGTTTGCCCCTTATGCCATGTGAGGACGCAATGAAAGAGGAGCAATAAGAAATCCCTCATAGGCCAGGAGGTGGTGGCGCACGCCTTTAATCCCAGCACTCGGGAGGCAGAGGCAGGTGGATCTCTGTGAATTCGAGGCCGGGCTGTACCGACAGCCTCCAAAACAATACAGAGAAACCCTGTCTCGTAAAACCAAAAAAAAAAAAAAAAAAAAAAAGAAAGAAAAGAAAGAAAGAAATCCCTCACAGACAATGAACTACAAAGCCATGGCCTTGGCTTCAACTGAGAAATATCAACCCTTGCGGTTTATAAATTAGTGTCTGAAGACAGCTGATCCTGAGTAAGGATCCCTCCCATGTGGCCTCTGATGCTACAGCTGGCTGTGTTGTCATGTTCCTTTGGCAATGCTGGAAGTCTCCTAACCAGTTGCCTTTGAAACTCAAGGTGGAGTTTGGGGTGTAGGTTTCGGTGCAGTTTGCCCGGAAATGGTCTCTAGCATAGACTGCTTTTCTGATTATGGAAAACTGGCCTCCTGTGTGTGCTGTCTTGTTGACCTTCTGGGTTTGCTGTGCTCAGTGTGGGATGCAGAATAAAATGCAAACCCTGGGAACTCTCAGGACATAGTCTGCTTAGCCAACATGCCTTCTCCTCAGCTTTCAAAGTTGTCCTATGTTCTTTCTGTACAGTGCTCAAGGTGATGTAGCTGGACCAGGTTGGGGGAAGTGGGAAAAGTCCCCGTCATCTTTAAGGAAGAGGAAATATCCATCACAATAATTTTTACATGTTTCCCTTTATTCGATTTAGTGTGTATCCATAATTTTGTTGTTTTAAAACTATGACTGAATAGTTTCATACATGTACATAATACATTTTGAATATATTCCTCAAACAGTCAAAAAAAACTGTGACTGAAGAGCCAGGTCAAGCCAACAGGAGCTTGCAGAGAGGGCAGAGACCAGAAAGCAGAGGGCAGAGAGTATTGGATTTGCTTGCACCCACCAAAGGGAACCCTGGTCACCTTCCCACGAGGAGAGGAAGAGACTCTTTTTACACCCACTGGAAGAAGTGATGGGGAAAATACAATATAAGAACACACTCATCAACAGAAAAACAAATATGACACCACCAGAGTCTAGAGAGTCTACAACAGTAAGACATTTCTAAAGGAAATGGACGACTTCCTGCCAAAACTAAATCAAGAACAGATAAGCAATTTAAACAGACCTATAACACCTAAGGAAGTAGAAGCAGTCATCAAAAGTCTCCAACCAAAAAAAGCCCATGGCCAGATGACCTCAGTGCAGCATTCTACCAGAAATTCAAAGAACTGCTTATACCAATTCTTCTCAAAGTATTCCATGCAATAGAAGCAGAAGGGTCTTTGCCAAACTCCTTTTACGAGGTTTCAATAACATTGATACCCAAGCCACACAAAGACACAACTAAGAAAGAGAACTTCAGACCAATTTCCCTCATAAATGCAAAAATACTCAATAAAATACTGGCAAATCAAATCCAAGAACACATCAGAAAACTCATCCACCATGATCACGCAGGCTTCATTCCAGAGATGCAGGGATGGTTCAACATATGAAAATCTATCAATGTAATCCCCCATGTAAACAAGCTGAAAAACAAAAATCACATGATCATCTGGCTAGATGATGAAAAAGCCTTTGACAAAGTCCAACACCCCTTCATGGTAAAAGTCTTGGAGAGATCTGGGATAACAGGAACATACCTAAACATGATAAAAGCTATATGCAGAAAATCAACAGCCAACATCAAACTAAATGGACAGAAACTCAATGCAATTCCATTAAAATCAGGAACAAGACAAGGCTGTCCCCTCTCCCCATACCTCTTAAATATTGTACTCGAAGTTCTAGCTAGAGCAATAAGACAACAAAAGGAGATCAAGGGGATACAAATTGGAAAGGAAGAGGTCAAATTTTCACTATTTGCAGATGATATAATAGTTTACATAAGTGACCCAAAGAACTCTACCAGCGCACTCTTACAGCTGATTAACACCTTCAGCAAAGTGGCAGGATACAAGATCAACTCAAGAAAATCAGTAGCCCTACTGTATACAGAAGATAAGAGGGCTGAGAAAGAAATCAGAGAAACATCACCCTTTACAATTGTCACAAATAACATAAAATACCTTGGGGTAACGCTAACCAAACAAGTGACAGACCTGCATTTCAAGAACCTTGAGTCTTTAAAGAAAGAAATTAAAGAAGACACCAGAAAATGGAAAGATCTCCCTTGCTCTTAGATAGGTAGGATCAATGTAGTAAAAATGGCAATCCTGCCAAAAGCAATCTATTGACTCAATGCAATCCCCATCAAAATCCCAGCACAATTCTTCACAGACCTTGAAAGAACAATTCTCAACTTTATATGGCAAAACAAAAGACCCAGGATAGCCAAGACAACCCTGCTCAATAAAGCAACATCTGGAAGCATCACCATTCCCGACTTCAATCTCTATTATAGAGCTTTAGTCCTGAAAACAGCTTGGTATTGGCACAAAAATAGACAGGTAGACCAGTGGAATCGAATTGAACACTCTGAGATTAATCCACAAACCTATGAACAGCTGGTTTTCGACAAATAATCTAAAACTATACAATGGAAAAAGATAGCATTTTTAACAAATGGTGCTGGCATAACTGGATATTGGCATGTAGAAGACTGCAGATAGATCCACGTGTATCACCATGCACAAAACTTAAGTCCAAATGGATCAAAGACCTCAACATAAATCCAGCTACACTGAACCGGTTAGAAGAGAAAGTGGGAGGTAACCTTGAACAGATTGGTACAGGAGACAGCTTCCTGAACATAACACCAGTAATACAAACACTGAGACCAACAATTAATAAATGGGACCTCCTGAAACTGAGTAGCTTCTGTAAGGCAAAGGACATAGTCAGCAAGACAAAAAGGCAACCCACAGATTGGGAGGAGATATTCACATATAACAGAGGAGATATGTCACATATGACAGAGGGCTGATCTCCAAAATTTACAAAGAACTCAAGAAGCTATTCTCTAAAACACCAAAGGACCTAATTAAAAAGTGGAGGACTGAACTAGAGATTTCTCAATAGAGGAGACTAAAATGGCTGAGAGACACTTGAGAAAGTGCTCAACATCCTTAGCCATTAGGGAAATGCAAATCAAAATAACCCTGAGATATCATCTTACTCCTGTTATAATGTCTAGAATCAAAAACACCAATGACAGCTTATGCTGGAGAGGATTGGAGAAAGGGAAACATTCATCCGTTGCTGGTGGGAGTGCAAACTTGTAGAGCCACTTTGGAAATCAGTATGGAGTTTCCTCAGTAAAATGGGAATCAGTCTATCACACAACCCAGCAATTCCACTCTTAAGCATATACCCAAAAGATTCGCATTTATACAACAAGGATGTCTATTTCACTATGTTCATAGAAGCATTATTTGTAATTGCCAGAACCTGGAAGCAACCTAGATGCCCCTCAACTCAAGAGTGGATAGAGAAAATGTGGTACATTTTCACAATGGATTACTACTCAGCACAAAAAACAACAGAATCTTGAAATTTGCAGGCAAATGGATGGCACTAGAAGAAACCATCCTGAGTGAGGTAACCCAAAAAGACAAACATGGTAAGTATTCCCTCGTGTATGGATTTTAGACATGGATCGGGGGAGTGTCAGCCTACAATGCCAGGGCCAGTGAGTCTTGGATACACGGAGGTTCCCAAGAGATATGCATTATACCCCTGAGAAGTGGAAAGAGGCAAGATCTCCTAGGCAGATTTTGGGAACATGGGGTGAGGAGAGAAGGAACCAGGAAAAAGAGAGGGGGATAAGAGGAGGGTAGAAGAAGACATGGGGGTGCAGGAAGGTTGAGTCGGGGTAAGAATAGAGGAGACCAGGATGAGAGATACCATAATAATTGGACTCATTATAGCTTTGAGGAGAGAGCTGACACTAGGGAGTTTTCCAGAGATGTACAAGGATAACACCAACTGGAAAACTAAGCAATAGCGGAGAGACTACATTAATAAGGTTGATGATAAGGTTGATGACTACTTTGTGTGACATCCTAGAACCTTCATCCTGTGACTGATGGAAGCAGAGACAGATACTCACAGCTAAACACTGAACTGACCCCCTGGAACCCAGTGACAGAGATGGAGGAGTGATGAACAGTCAAGACTGTGCTTGTGAAACCCACAAAGACAGCTGACTGGACAAGGGAGAGTTCTTGAACCCAAGACTGACTAAGAGGCCAATAGGGGACTGATCTAGACTCTGTGAATGTAGTGTCAGTGAGGAGGCCTCAGAAATCTCTGGGGCCTTGGGTAGTAGACTAGTGTTCACCATGACATACAAATTAACTTTGGGAGCCCACTCCACATGGAGGGATGCTCTCTCAGCCTGGACACATGGGGAAAGGTCTAGATCTTGCCCTGGATGAAATGACAGACTCTGGAGATCCCCCCAAGGAGGGCCTCACCCTCCCTAGGGAATGATGTGGGGATTGGGCTGGGGGTCGGGCTGGTGGAGGGAGAAGGGGGAGCTGTGATTGACATTTGAAGCATGGATGTTTCTAATTTAAATGAAAAATACTTTTTAAAAAATATGACTTAAGTTTTATAATTAGGCATTAAATTAGCCCAAGTAGTAGAGTATTTTTGTGCCATTTTGTTGTTTCTCTTTGGATTTTTATATCTTTTTTAAATTTAACTACATTTGCTCTTTCAGGTCAGGTGTCATGGCACACGTCTTTAATCTCAGAACTGGGTCAACAAAGGCAAGTAACATCTGGAAGTTCCAGGCCAGCCTGGTCTCTATAATGAATTTCAGGCCAGTCAGAGTTACACAGTGAACCCTGTCTCAGAAAACTATATACCTTTCCCACTTTCACAACGTGTTAAATGCATGCATTACTTCCCACGCACCCCCTCCTATCAGCCCACTCTCTTCCCTACAAATGCCTTCCTTTCCATTCCTACATTCATATCTTCTTGTTCATTTTGAGACCCACTGAATTTAATCAAGGCCATTTGCTGGCCACAGGCTTGGAACTATCCACTGCAGTTTGGTGGAGTCATCAGTGGCTACACACCTGAAGTAAATGACTTCCCCTTTCCCAGCCACATCATCCCCTCCTCCAACCATAAGAGACTGTCGACAGGCCCAGTCTTGGACAGATCAGTGCGAGTAACCATTTGCTGTGAGTTCAATATTGCAGCAGCTGTGCAATGCCAAAGGAATGGCAGTCCTTCATCCTGTCTTCCAACTCTTCTTCCTGCCTCCTCTCCCTCAATGTTCCCGAACCTCAAAGGGAATAGCATAGATATCTTATTTAGGGACGGGCACCCAACTATCACTTATTCTAAGCACCATGAGAAGCCATGAGTCTGCATTCACTGCCATTCAGTTCATTAAAAAGAGTCTTCACTCATTAAGACCGAGAGCAGCATTTATATAAGAGTTATAAACATAGATATTTGGAAGGCAATTTGACACTACATCAGTTCAAATAAGCAACAGTTCCCCCCCCCACAGTAACCAGTTCCCCCCATGTGGATCAGGCCTCAAATCTAAGCAGAAAGCAATTAGTTACACCCTAACAGGAGTGCTGCTGTTGCAAAGTGAGCACATCTTGCATGGCAAGCTGGTTTTGAAGTTGAGTAAGATCACTGATGCAGTCTCTCCCAGTGTCCTCTAGCAGAATGAACGCTAACTAACATGGAGAAAATTTCCAGCTCAATTCCAGCTTGTTTTAATTCTTTCAACAAAGGTGTGTGTGTGTGTGTGTGTGTGTGTGTGTGTGTGTGTGTGTGTGTGTGTGTGATCTTAAGCAGTAAGATCTTATCATCTGGTTTTGTTGAGCAACTAAGAGGAACAACAAGAGCCTGTATTATTTAGGACACTTCTGAGAGCTAGACTAACAACTCATACGGAAATATCCCATACCTGGTACTTGAATTTGTTTTAATGTACTTCTAATTGATATGTTTGGACAATGTCCATTCAATGAAATCAGTATGTAAAGACTAAAATCTTCTTTCTGCTTTATACCTATTCTTTCTATTTTATCAATGACTCTGTTTTCTTTTACCAGCTTTCTTAGATATTATTTGCACATTTTTTCAGTCCCACATAGATTTATCTATACTGTTCTGAGTGTATTTTTTCTATGGAAATTCTTATCCCTAACCAGCACACTCCAGGGTATGTGTTGGTACAGTAAAAGAAAAAGAGTTG